AGTAGAAATCAAAGATACCACTTACCCAGCTGTCCAAGAATCCCAGGTAGTTATGAGGTTTGTGCTCCAATATGAAGAGAAAAGAGAGAGGTCAGGCTGTTAGGATGTAGCCTTTGCTGTTTGGTCTCCTTTAACATAGCCTTCGAGACTATGAATTAACCTACCTCATTTTTCCCTTTACTCTCACAAGAGGCCATCTTCAAAAGGAAATGGAAAATATTTTGTGACCACTTACAGTTATGTATGCCTTCTGAGGTTCATGGTTGCCCACTGTGTTTCCCATGGAAAGGAGAAAATAGCAGTGGCCCTGTCTCAACCACCTCAGCCTGGTGGAAAGCTCTTCTTTGTCGATCAGTTTCTTAGCCCAAGGGTCACCTCCTCTGGAAAGCCACCCTAATTCTCTCAGGAAGCATTCACACCTCAGAGACTTCCATTACCACATCAGCTTTGATGCTTCCTCATAGATATTTCCCCCAACTCGCTGCAAGCTCCAGGAGAACAGTCTGTATCCTTACATCACAATCATCTTGTGCCTAGTATTGGGCCAGGAACAGTGTTGATGGAATTAAATGTTTTCTAAGTGATGATGGCCCAGCAGCCAAGTCCTCACATTTCCATATCCTTCCATAAAGGGTACCCAAGTTTTTGAGGTGCCCTGATGAATCCAAGAATGATGAAAATCAAGCCCACCATGCAGAAATTTTAGAGAAATAAGACCTTTGCATTGAGTCATGACTAGCTCCTGTTGAGCTCATCTGCCTATCATCTCATGTCAGAGAATCCATCCTGCTTCTCCCCTCACATTCACTCACAGGATGTTCAGAAAGCACCCCACAGTGGGCTGAGCCCAACCGTAAAGCAGGAAACAATTGTACCAAGAGGTTCCAGAAGGAATTGATACTCTATGGCTGCTGGGTTGGTTTCAGATCCTTTAGTCATTTACATGGAAAAGCAGAATCTCAGCGTTCTTCCAGATTTAGTTCATCATCTCTTCACCTGCTTCTCACTGATGAGTTTTAGCTGCATTGGTATTTACCATGGACATTTTGACAAGCCATCATTCATTTATTCAACTCATATGTATTGAATATCTACTGTGTGCCAAACATCATTCTAGATATCAGGAATTCAACAGAGGTATCAAGAGAGGTATGGTCCTATCTAGTGGCCCAGAAGGACAGGCAAACATTGAACAAGTAAATTTTATAATATTAATTAATTATAATAAGTGTTACCAAGAAGGTAAGCTAATAATTACAATAAAAATACAATAAAGGACCCAACCCCAGGGAAGTTAAGTTTTGAGGCTGAAACATGCAAGGTGACAAGATGGCTGAGAATTACCTAGGAAGGAGAGGAAAGGGAAACACTTATGACGGTCTCTGTAGGAAGAAGACTGACAGCAAAAATGTACCTCTGAGTCTATATAGAGAAGCCCCTGTGTGAATCTGAGTGAAGCTTTATACTGTCAAAGAAGACATACCCTTCTAGCTAGCTAGGGAATAGGGGGAATTATTGAAAGCAAAATAAGAGACTCTCAAGGAACTAGAATGCAAAAGGAATAACTAGACTTTGTGGGAATTACACTAGTGGAAGTCAAAGCTCCTTTCCTGTGACTCTAGCCAGCTTATTCCCCACTCTTCTCTTCCCTCCCCCTCCTCTCATTCTCTTCCTCTCTATATATATCTTTCTCTCTCTTCTTTGCCAGGGATCCTATTCTGCTTCCACCAGGTCCAATATGGCAGCCACTCATGAATCTATATGATCTACTGTTTCAGCTCCACCACTCACTGAAATCTCAATATCTCTCAGTTCAATTGCTTGAGAGAATAAATCTGGTTGATCATTGGCCTTTTAATAGTATTGGTTGGTTGAGTTTGAATCAGGTGCCCATGTAATAGACATATTATTTTTGCCACACAGAATTGGCAAACCAATTCAGATTCCTGTGATCTAGGTAGAGTTCTACCCCCAGCCTCAGGGATGGAGGACATAACTCATGCCTACGCAATTCAGCACAGCATGCTTCTGGCCTTTGGTTCCCAGTATATACATAAGTCAGACTTTTTGGGAGAGAATTCTCAGATTAAAGACTCTCATCTTCCATGGGCATTACAAGAGGGGATATTCACTCTTCCTTTGGTGATGGGATGTTGTGAGGTCTGGATCTTTAGCAACCTTTTTGTGATATTAAGAGGAGCAAGATTGAGCATGGAGCCAACCCAGAGGAACCCAAACCAAGATTTGGAGTAAAAACTCATTCAGTTGTGGTGATGTCACCTGAGTGCTGATTACAGCTGGGTCTACCCCAGGACATTTTCAAGCCAATAGATTCCTTTTATTATTCAAGCCAATTCAAATTGGATTTTTCTGTTCCTGGCAAAAAAAAAATATTTATCAAACTGATTTGTCTTGCCCCTCACCTGATCAATTATAGAGCATGGCTAGGGAGGGCTATTTGATGTTTCAAGTAGGAAATTATTATTTGAGAAGGTGATCAATCCAAAGTATATTCAAGGCACCTGGACAACCCTAGAGGCATGAACACACGAATAAATAGCACAACTAAGGCATATTACTGTTACAACTGAATTCATAAGCAAGGAAGTGAAAAATGGGCTGTTTTGGTACTGAATTGCTTTATATTCTTTTCTAAATAATATTACTCATGCTTTTCATTGCTTCATTAATTTTTTCAATTTTTTTTGAGAAAAGTAACTATTCTTTCAGAAATAGCCATAGGCTACGTTTGAAACATCTTAAATGAGCTCCTTTTGAATTATTTATGTGAGAACATTTCTATAAATATCCAGAAATAAGGTGTCTTTCTGTCAACATAATTAAAAACAACCCATTGCATTTCTCTAAAAAGAAAAACTATTTCAACTGAATCCGGACTTGAAAAATATTACCCCATTTTTCTTTCCACAAATCAGAGAAAATTGGGGGGGGTGGGGGTACTAGAACTATAATAAACCCTTACTTACTCTATGTTCATGTCCATTTGTAACTATTAGGGATTATAACTAGAGGGCAGGCAGCTGTCTACTCAACTAGACTGAACATTTTTCTAGCACGTGCAAAGCTCCCGGGTGGTGGCTACTATCCTAACTCTGGGCTTTAAGATGTAAACCTATGTAAATCGCTCCCTATTTACTCCTCTGTTCATATTTTGCTTTTTCTCTGCAAGGAACGCAAATTCCCCAAGTTTGTATCCAAAGAAATGGAAAACATGTACATCGAGGAGCTGAAGTCGTCCGTCAACCTGCTCATGGCCAACTTGGAGAGCATGCCGGTGTCCAAGGGCGGCGAGTTCAAGCTTCAGAAGCTCAAGCGCAGCCACAACGCTTCCATCATCGACCTGGGCGAGGAGAGCGAGAACCAGCTCTCCAAGTCAGACGTCGTGCTGGCTTTCTCCTTGGAGGTAAAAAGCTCTCGCCCCTGACAGTCTCCTGGCCCAGCAAGCAGCACGCGGTGATCAGAGGCCTTCAATCAGCTTGTGTGTTCCTTGCGCCCCAGGAGCAGTTCCTAAAAGCACTGCTTGCTGAGCACGGGCCGGCTCATCAGCAAGCCATTCCCTGCCCCCGGGAGCCCAGGCTTTTCTCAAGGAAATGCAGTCTTAAGAACCACTTACTCAAGGAAATGCAGTCTTTAAGAACCACTTACTAAATCCCATCTCACATTACTTGTACTGTCTTAAGCCAGTGATCAAGGATTTTGTAAAGAGCTATGCAATTTAGAAAGTTTAAAGTCTGGGCAACCTGGGTTGAAGTTATGAGAGAAGCAATCGAGCATCATTTTGTGGTGAGTTGTAAATTGTCTTTGCCACCATCTCTCCTGTTGGCTCCGTGGAGCCTTTTCAGTTTACCTCACAACCCAAAGGAAAAACCCATTTGGGCCAGAATTCTGGTAGAATGCTCGGTATGTCATTACACTTCTCCATAACTTCTACTCCGCTGTTTGCTGTTTGGACATATCTGATCCAGCTTCATCAGAATTTCCCAGAAGCTGGTTCAGACTGCAGACCCTTTTGACCCAAATCTCTAGGAGGTGGGAATTTAAAGTGGTGCAGTCACTTTGGAAATAGTTTGGTGTTTTCTCAAAAAGTTAAACATAAAACCAAGGTATGTCCAGTGACTCTACTCCTAGATATCTACCCCAGAGAACTGAAAACACATCCCACAGAAACATGCTCACAACAGTTTACAGCAGCATCATTCATAAGAGTCAAACAGAAACAGTCTAAATGTGTATCACCTGGGGAATGGGTCAAGTTTTGTACATCCAGACAAGGGAATACTATTCAGCAATTCAAGGGAATAAACTACTGATATATGCTTTGATATTTAAAAAATACATGATTTTATTGATTTCAGAGAGAGGAAGGAAGAGGGAAAGAGAGTTAGAAACATGAATGATGATAGAGAATCATTGACCGGCTGCCTCCTACATGCCCCCTACTGGGCATGGAGCCCACAACCTGGGTGTGTGCCCTGACCAGGATTCAAACCATGACCTCCTGGTTCATGGTCCATGCTCAATCATTGAGCCACATCGACGGGGCATGCTTTGATTTATTGAACCTCAAAAACATTCATGCTTAGTGAAATAAGCCAGATACAAGTGACCACATGTAGTTTGAGTTCATTGATATGAAATGTCCAGAAAAGGCAGGTCTCCAGAAACAGAAAAGAAATTAGTGTTTCCTGAGGCAGCGGGTGGACACGGACATGAGGGACCTAAAGCTAATTTATGATGATGGCTGCACAACGTAGTAAATTTGCTAAAATCATTGCTTATACTCTTAAAATGGGTTCATTATATGATATATAAACTATGCCTCAATAAAGTTATCAGAAAAAAGCATCTCTAGGCGAATGCAAGCCAGGAATGCGCATGTTAATGAGCTCCCAGGCACTTCTATGCACTCCCAAGTTTGAGACCCATTCATATCTTATTACAGCTCTACCCCCCAGGATTTTATGATGGCCCTAGACTTAGGGAGACCAAGAGAATAGATCAAATTTCTGTAGATGTAATTAGAATGTGTAAAAACTGAATTAATTTAGAACATCATCAAGGCTTGCTGTGAATTAACTGCAGGTAATTTGCCTGTGCTCAGTTTGGGTGGAGATAGCCACATTACAGTATTTCCGACATGCATTTTGCTGTCAAAAGAAGCAGTATTCGGTTAAATATAGACCATTTGTTGTGTGAAAAATGTCATCAGTGTAATTTCACAGAAACTTCCTTTCTTTCCTTTTTTAATACCACTACCTGAGGCACTGAACGCTTTTTCTTAGGTGTCTTTGAATTGGATTATTGCCAATTAGAGGTGGCAATTTATTCCCGACTGCTTCTTGTCGTTCTACAGAGAGGAGAAAACGTGCTTTATTGATTTGCATGAAGCTTTTAAATCTGTAATTTTCTGATTCTTTACCAGTAGACAATATTATACAGCTGATTAGCTGAAATGCCAATGTAGGCGAGTCCCCAGCCATCCTCACATGCGTACATGCTTCAAACGGGCTTTACCCGGTAATTACAAGCACAGAATAAAGCGCCCCAGGGCTCCCCAATGCTTTTAAATTAGAACATAAAATCGCACATCACACCGAAACAGCCAGCAAAAATCATTGTATATCTATTTGTGAGCATGTTTGGGGACATAAAGACAGGAGGCAAGAAGAGGGAGAACGGCTGTCATCTCTTTAGGGAAGGCTGGGTTTGAGTTTTCAGGTTGGAACAAGACAGATTTCATGTAATTATAGAATTACCTGCTGGAAGGGACACCAGAGAGCAGTTAACTGCAGCAAGAGAACCGAGGTCCGGGAGGCCGAGTGGCATGGCCGTGGGCAGGGGGAGCTCTGTTGAAAACTGTAGGAACTTAAAGAATGCCACTAGGAACCGGGCTCTGCCACTATCCACTCAGTGATCCTCACAACAATCTTTGGAGGCATTTGCAGATGAGGAAACAAAGCCTCAGAGAGGTTAAGGAGCTTATAAATGATTGCACAGCTAGTGAAGATGCAGATTCGGGATTTGAACTCAGACCTTTTAAGTTCCAAAAAGTGTGTTCTTTCTCCTGTGCCTACCATTTCTTCTCATTTCTATGATTCTTCCTCATGTAAAATTTTTCAATTCCATACATCATTTGGTCCTCACACAAAAGCCACAGCGAGAGAGGGCACATGTGCCCACTTTACAGATGAGGAAACTGAGGCTCAGGTGTTGGAAAAGAAAAGTGGAGTGACTTCCAGAACAAGTCACTTACCCAACATCACATGAGAAGTACAATGGTTCTTAGAGTATGACTCCTGGATCAGCAGCAACACATTAGCATCACCAGGGAAATTGTTAAAAATAAAAAGTCTTGCCCAGCCAACATGGCTCAATGGTTGAGCATCGACCTATGAACCAGGAGGTCATGGTTAGATTCCTGGTCAGGGCATATGCCCAGGTTGCAAGCTCAATCCCCAATGCGGGGCATGCAGGAGGCAGACAACCAATGATTTTCTCTCATCATTGATGTTTCTATCTCTCTCTCCCTCTCCCTTCCTCTCTGAAATCATTAAAAACAATCTATATATTTTTAAAAGTCTTGGGCCCCACCCCAGACCTACTTATCAGAAACTGGTGGTGCAGCTCAGTAGTCTCTGGTGTCACAAGCCCTCCAGGTGATTTATAGTCACACTAAGTTTAAGAGCCACTGGGCTAATTAGCAGCAAAACTAACTTGTGAATCCTGTCTCAATGCCAGCCTTATTGTACTTCCTGGAATCAAGCCCATACAGAAATGTACGTGTTTGCATGCCCACATCCCTTCCTTGTGTAATGTCATTACCTCTTCGAGAGTATAATTGATTTTTTCAATATACATTACTCATTCTAGATCTCTGATGCATGCCATTGGTTTCAGATTCTTACACCAGTGTCTCTGCCCTCGCCTCATTCCCTCCCCCCTCTCTGATAGGTGACAGGGCGTACCAGTGACTAGGAGAATAACAGCAGGTGACTGAGGAGTTTGAGGGTAGAGGTGGGAAGTGGAAGGACTTGTAAATCAATACACTAGCCTTTTCCTTCCGAGTAGAACAGTGTATGCAGCCACAGACATGTTTTTGGTTTGACCCAGCAATGTTGTCCTGCACAAAAGTTTGGGTATTTTATTCCCCCCTTTTTGAATTATTATCAAAATTTCAAAATCAGATATCTGACTTGGATTCTGATTCAGATTTCCATTTTCTGATAGGAAAAATGAGAGTATCTGGCAACAGTGGGCCAGGGAAAGACAAGGCCACAGGGGCTATGACGACTATCAACTGCTCCACTTAGATGGAGTGTGCTCTCCAGTTGCTACAGTCCCACTACTCCCTCTCGTCTCTGACTGTACTGCTTAATGCTACTTGCCCTTAATCTTAGCACTTCCATCATCGCTTATCCTATATAATAAAAGAGTGATATGTAAATTAACCGTCACTCTGCAACAAAGATGGCGGTGCCCATAGTGGCTGGGGCGGGACGCTGGTGGCATTGCCCTGGCAATGCGAGCCTAGCGTCCGCACACTGGCCGCATGGAGGGAGTGCAGGGAAGGGACCATGGGCCGGAGGCTGGGGCAAGGGATGCTGGTGTTGTTGGTGCAGGCCAGGCTGAGGGACCACTCCCCTCCCCCCCGCCCTGCACAAATTTCATGCACTGGGCCTTTAGTCTTACTATAAAGGCTAATGTAAACTCATGGGCCTGTGTCTCTGCCAAGTGCTGAATTAAAACCTAGATTATTTTTAAAGAAATAAGAGATAGCAGATTTCTTTGTGGAAATGGAAACAGATCCTGTGACTAACATAGAAAAGAGTAGCCATTTCACATTACCTGTCTGGCCCCCGTGAGCATATGAATTAGTAAGACTTGTCTTTCCATCTGGGAGGCAATAAGCTACACAGTAAGAATTACATCTTCATGCTAGACTGGTCCCAGCGTGGCTGGCAGAAACCTAGTGGAAGCCATCAGGTATGTGCTGGCTTTTCGGTAACTTCTTCTCATTCATATATTTCCTCTGGATGGTTCTGCCCATGGTCTTTGGAAATAACTCCCACTTTGTGTGATTGTTTCCAGGTGGTGATCATGGAAGTGCAAGGCCTCAAATCCTTGGCTCCCAATCGCATTGTGTACTGCACAATGGAGGTGGAAGGGGGAGAGAAACTACAGACGGACCAGGCCGAGGCGTCTAAGCCCACGTAAGTTTTGTTTCTCCACCATTTATTGCCCACAAGGCTGTGATCATGGGCTGCAAGGTCCGGTTTCCATGGAAAATTCTAGAAAGCATATACTTGGTTTATTTGTTAAACAAGATGACTTGATTACATTTTATATGGCAGCCATAACCTGTGTTCAAGTTCCTCTAAAGCAGAGAACAGAAGGAAATTAGAGTAACAACATCTTCTCTGGAGGCAGAGAGTCACGACTTCCATCCTTCAGTGTGGTGTGCAGGACAGTTGGACATAACTTTGTTTTATTATATTTTCTAAATAATATTTGGTTTATTATAGAAACAATTTTTTTCCAAGATCATTATGTGCCACAGTTATAAATATATTAGCAAAGCAGTCTGTTACGTTAAACCTAATACATTATTCCTATGGTCTGTGCGTATTTGTCAAACTCTCAAATAGTCACTGTTATAGCCCTACAGTGCTTACAGTTGAGTGTGGGCAACAGAAAAATAATCACACAAATTGATAACTACAAATAGTTATAAACGCTGAGGAGAAAAGAGTGCCTAAACCAGTTTGTGGGGACAGTCAGAGTAGGTTTTCCTTAGGAGTTACAAGCCATTTGGACTAATATTATAAAAGTTGAGCAAGGGCAGTGGGAATGGAAAGTGGATTCCAGGAAGATTCAGCTTGTGCAAAGGCCCTGTGGCAAGGAGGAATTGAAAGGCCAGTGGAGCTGGTGGGCCGAGAATAAGGTATGCCTGAGCTGCCAGTGAGGCAGGAAGGGGACTCACAATGAAGGACCTTGTCCGGCCATGAGGGAAAAAGCCTGGAGAAACATGAGTGATGATGATGAATTCATTTGAGTCAACAACTCTTAGAGCTCAAGGATTCTTGAGAGATCGCTGCTCTCTTCTCTGCCTAACCGATGCCTCTCTCTCTTTCCTTTCTATCTTAATTAAGCCAGCTTAGGCTAATGAGAATCTTTTCTTATTGTTGTTAATTCATAAAGAAAGTCATAGAAGGAGAAACTCCGAACAGCAGCTTACTGCCTCTCCTCCCTCACAGTATTATGCGCTATTTAGCAGAACGTGAATAACTTGCCAGGATGTTCAAACAAAATAGTTCGAAGAAAGCACTGAATGTTTCACAGACTGGAGAAAATATGAGGGCATTGTATGCCTTCAAGTGGTTCTTTGCATGAATAGGCAAAGGCCTCAGATGCTCAGAAGCTGCGTGAAATTAATGAGCATCTGCAGAAGGAAATGGTAACCCGTGCAACTTGTCACTCGCCACCCTCCCTCCCTTTTTGAAACTTAGTTTCAAACTGTAAATGAATGCAGTTTTTTAAAACCTATTATTGATGAAATCCCAACATTTCCCTTACTGTTGCCATGGCCTGGTCATTATCAATGCTATTATATCATACTGCATTATTCACATGTGCTTTTAAAAAGTGCCATATATCCTGGCTGGCGTGGTTCAGTGGTTGAGCGTCAACCTATGAACCAGGAGGTCATGGTTTGATTCCCGGTCAGGGCACATGCCCAGGTTGCAAGCTCGATCCCCAATGTGGGGCGTGCAGGAAGCAGCCAATCAATGATTCTTTCTCATCATTGATGTTTCTATCTCTCCCTTCCTCTCTGAAATCAATTTTTAAAAAGTGCCATATACTTGGTATTTCTGCCAACCTTTTAAGATGTTGGGCCCAATATAGTGTCACAAGTGAAATAAGGAAGGAAAAGGCTCTGATTATTCTAACAGGCTGTTGCTTTATATGTGGTATTTTAACTCAAAATGTAATTCATATCATCTTACTGGGTTTAAAGATGTCAGTTGCCAGGGTAAATAATGAGCTGAATTTTATGCACTTGGGAATGTTTAAAACCAAGTTTCAAATTACAAATTAATATGGAATACTTGGGTCCACCTACTTGAAATACTCATATTTCACATATATATTCACTCATATCCATACATGTACATCATTATGTCTGTATAAAGAAACATCATTTGCTTTTCTAGCTGGTGTATAATTTTTTTATTCCTCTTGAATCAGTGAGTGGGTATTACCAAAACCCCACTGAGGGTAGGTTGGTTGATTGAATGTTTGGCTGGCTGTTTAGTTGGCGGGTTGGTTTCTCAATATAGTAGGAATGCAAGTCAATCAGTCCACAGTGGATACCTAGAGCATTGTGATGAGAATGGTTCTGAAGCCAAATTTGTATTCAGAGGACAATAGTGCAATGATCTACTTATAATGTCTGCCATGCGAATGGAAGGAGTATGATTGCCTGTGTATCCCGAAGAAATAGACCCAGAGTTTGAAATCTGCCAATGCTCTTTCTTCTTTCTGTCTTTTCCTTTATCCTTTCTGTATGAATTCTCCTTATAACCTCTACTCATCTCCCATCTAAATCCACAGTTCTTTTCCTGTGTGTCTTCTTTGTCTTTTCTTTGTCATAGCCCCGTTCTGGTAATCTGCCTCCACCCCAGTTCTATCTGGAGGATAGATGAGCCTGTTTGTGCAGGTGCGTTTTCTTCCTCCCTCCCTCGTTTGGAGAATCCTCTCCATCATTTCTTTTCTTTGAAGCTTATATTTCTTCTCCTTTCATCCCCTCTTCTACTTGCAGCTTCTCCCATTAGTGATCTCCAGCTGTCATCGCTGCTATTTGATTTTGATTATCTCAAAAAGTATCCTTTGGAGAGTTAGCTTTCATCTGTTCTAAAAATTCTTTCATCGTCTGGCAAGTTTAGCTTTTTTCCTGCCCTATTCTTCTTCCGAACCTTGTCCTTGGCCCTTTTTACAGCCAGCTGATACCCATACTTATTTAGTCATTCTAAAACTAAAAATACATCCAAGCCAGTTTTATTTATTACTCATAAATTCTACTGATGCTACTACCAAGTGTTTCACCCAATAACTGGAACACAAACATCTATCGTATCATGTATCTACAAGGAATTTGGCTTTTGTCTTTTTTTTCCAAGTACAGTCATAAATCCAGGAGTACATTACATAACCCAGCTTGTCCAAGAGTGGACTTTTGGAACTTTAATGTATAGAATACGCTAAGGAAAACAATGGCAGGGAGAGTGGCACTTTGGTCAAGTACTAATAAGACTGGGAGATATAAGACATTACATCTCCCTGTCATAGTGAGTTTTTCATGGTGTATGTTGTCATTTCAAAGGCTTTGAAGACTTTGAAGATTTCTAAGAGTAAATAAATTGATTTATCAATACATTTCCCAATCTTTTTTTAACTAACACCTATTGGCATTCATTGGAAATGCTGGTCTATATCGTACAAACCCAGTAATAGAGGGTGAACTTTCTTTCACCTCTTTATCAATGTTTCTCCACTTGGAGCCAGGGCCCTGTCTGGCATGGTTATGGAGGATCAGCTGCACATAAGAATGCAGTGTTCATAAGTTAATTATACTTTTTGTTTGGGAAAAAATGGTGTGTGTGTAGCCCTAACTCATCCTTCATTTTATCAATCTCCTTACAACATGCGGGCTATTTTCAAGCAGACTATATATCCTGGTTTTTAATACAGAAAGCCAGGAGAATATATGATCAAAAGTTTTTAGGATTTATATTTGTTTTCAACAATATTACCTACATTTGCTCCACATTGTTTCTGCCTCTTATGGGAAACCATTGAGGGTGGAGGCTGACGTAGCTGAAATCACGTTTTAGGTGAGCAACATCAGGAAGGCATGGCAATGGAGAAGGGAAATGCTCGTGGATTCAAAAACCCAGATCGTTTTGTCCAGCTCCTTTGAAATAGAGCAGAGGACTCTTCTTGCCACAAGGCAGCATCTCTCAAAGGGTGGCACTCTCACCTCTGCTGAAAACACAGACTGTGTTAGGTGTTACCAACATGGCAGTGAGTAACAATCACGTGATAAGGAAGTTACATTTTGCCCATTTCTTCTTAAGTTCTGACCAAGTCAAGGAGAATGTTTTGATTTCGTTCTAGTGAATCTTTGACACCTGCAGTTAGAATTTAATAGCATTGTTCAGCTCTCATTTGATCAAAAACGTTTTCTGTGCTGGTCCTTGGTATGGTTAAAATGGAAACACGAAATTTAGATGTGAGGTATAATAGGAAGGGTAGGCACCTGCATTCTCTCAACAGGTGTGCAGGCAATGCTCCTCTTGTTTCTGACGAATGCTGGGACTACAGCCATGAATACCACCGGTTAAGCTGTGGCCTCATGGAGCGTCCATTCAGTAAAGAACAGGTGGTAACAAAGGAACAAGTGAGATAAAGGGAAATAGCAGGCTGGGGTTGTGTTGCCTCCATTCATGGCTGGTGGTGCCCCTTTGTCGGTGGCAGCAGTGACCTGGTTTTCTTTTCTAAAGAAATATATTAACATTTAAAAGGTGAATTAATTTAAATAAAATATATTAAGTAAATAATAGCACAGGTGTTACCAGATATGATTAACAAATCATGAAAGTGTCTTGTGTTGCTATGTGGAGATGGCAAAGATTGGGAGGATGGTATGCAAATTACGTTGGGGAAATTGATGTAAGAAAACCTGGCATAGTCCCTGAGTGGAAGGTGCGCTCCAAGACTCTCTCCCGTGGATTTGCACAGTGTAAGTTACCCTCTAAAGAAGCATGCCCTGACCTTTAAATACCAGAGAAAATTAGGTCATTTGGCTGAAGAGAAAGGCAATTGGAGTTAGCAGCCCAATATTGTGCTGACTTACCTGAAATTATATTCTCCTAAGTTGAAACCAAGAATGTCATTTGGCATTTGATTATGTAACAAGTTCATTATTCCATGATAAGCTGGCTTCATGATGCGTGGATTTCATTATTGTCAGAAATTCAAAAACAATCAATGTTTGCTGCCACTTTCTGAGGGATAAAATAAAATAAAATACCTTAACTGGTAAATCTTGCTATAGTCCTGGCATTTATCAATGGCATCTTATCTAATGAGACCATATTTGTTTAAAAAGAGCAAAGCACAAGTATGTTCTGTGAAACATATTATTTGTCCT